AAACCCTAGGCCCCAACCCCAAACCCTAAACCCTAAACCCTAGGCCCCAACCCCAAACCCCAAACCCTAAACCCTAAACCCTAAACCCTAGACAACCCCAAACCCTCCGCCACCTGCACACCACCTGCGCGCTGCGCGCACCCCCACCACACCCCACCCAAACCCCAAACCCCAAACCCCAAACCCCAAACCCCAAACCCCAAACCCTAAACCCTAAACCCTAAACCCTAAACCCTACGATGAGGTGGGTAATGCCCTCCAAGTCAATAATGTCTCTGTCTCCGTCGAGGGCCCCCCCCGGCCAAACATGGGCTGCAGGAAGTTTGCAAAGAGAGACCCAGTGGGGCCCCAGGAAAGAAAGCATAAGATTATGAATTTGCTGCTGCAGCGCAGCAGCAGCAACTTTGCTGCCTTCCACGAAAACCTCTGCTGCAGCACCTGCTGCTGCTGCTCCCGCTGCAGCACCTGCTGCAGCAAACCCTCCGCAGCCCCCCACCAACGCGTTCCAGTCCGCCTGCAAACAAACCCTAAACCCTAAACCCTAAACCCTCGTCCTGGGTCTTGCGCGCCGCAGCTATCTTTCCGCCGCTCCACGCAAACCCTAAACCCCAAACCCTAAACCCTAGACCTGGTTCTTCACCGCCAAAGCGGTCTTTGCGCAGCTAACGGAGCTTCCCTCGAGGGTTTAGGGTTTAGGGTTTGGGGTTTGCGGGCGCGGGGCCTGGCCCCGCCGGCGCGTGCGCGCCGGCCGGCAGGGTTCAGGGTTTAGGGTTTAGGGTTTAGGGTTTAGGGTTTGCCTTGAGCTCAGGGGGCATCTTGCGGAGGTTGAGGACCTGGGCCTTGATTAGGGTTTGGGGGGTTTGCTGCTCCTCTAAACCCCCGACTATCCAACTTTTTAATTCTATTTTTGCATCAGGGTTGTAAACCCTAAAAAACCTTTCGGGGCCAATTCGGTAACTCAGCAGCAAACAGTAGTGCGGCAGACAAAGCCCGCGAAACGCCTTCGAGCCTTGCAGCGAGCCTGCAAACCCTAAACCCTAAACCCTAAACCCTAAACCCCAAACCCCAAACCCTAAACCCTACAGCCTCAGCGCTGAGCGCTGGGGGGATCCAGCGGTAACGCACACACGCGGCTGAGACGCATACAAGCAGCTGTGGCCGCATGCAACCCCCAAACCCTAAACCCTAAACCCTAAACCCTAAACCCTAAACCCTTAGCCCTAAACCCTAAATATGAAAAGACACAAGAGAGCCCTGCAACGTCATGTATGCGTAAACGCATGCATGCACACCTTAAACCCCAAACACTCAACCCTAAACCCTAAACCCTGAGCCCAAAACCCTAAACCCTAAACCCTAAACCCTAAACCCTCGGCGCACAAAAGAAGGCTCTGGGGGAGGTGAGGGCGATTTGCCTGCGTTTGAAGGGCGGGCGTTTTTCTGTTTTATAAATTTCACAAAAGTTGGCAAGACATTCATCATAGAATTTATTATTGAAGCTGCTGCTGCTGCTGCTGCCGCTGCTGCTGCTGCTGCTGCTGCTGCTGCTGCTGCTGCTGCTGCTGGAGGCGATGCTGCTGGTGTCGGCAATGCTGGCGCTGAGGACAGACCTGCGCTGCTGCTGCTGCTGCTGCTGCTGCTGCTGCTCTGTCTCCTTTTGCTGCAGATAAGAGACCAGGGGCTGCAGCACATCAACCCCCAACTTGGCCACTTCTGCTGCTTCGCTAAAAGATAATGGAATGGAATTAAATAAATTATTTGAAAATGAAAAAAATGAAAACTGCGACAAAAAATGCGGAGGCAGCGCCCGCGCTTCCTCCAGCTGTACGTACAGACACCCCACACGCAGCAGTACAGACACTCCAAATTCTTTTTCATTTCTTTTCTTTCTTTTCTTCTTTTCTTTTTCTTTCTTTTCTTTTTCTTTCTTTTGCTTTCTTTGTTTCAATAAAGAAAGAAAAAGAAAAGAAGAAATAAAAGAAATAAAAAAAAAGAATTTGGAGTTGTTTTTTCTTTTTTCTTTCTTTTGACTCCATTTACCTCCTTCGGAAGAAAAAATAAATTTTAAAAAAGTAAAAGACAAAAAGAAATAAATAAAACAAACATCAGATAATCCAAAATGAAAAAAAAAGCTAAAAGGAGACAAAAAAGAAAATAAAAAATAAAAGGAGACAAAAAACCCGCGATGGAGGCGCAGCCCAAGCACCTACCGCAGGCAACGAGGGTTTAGGGTTTAGGGTTTAGGGTTTTGTGATTTGTGGTCAGCGTTTTTGTGGTTTGTGGCTTAGTGCTTCCTGCTTAGTTTTTGGCGTCACGTGTCAGTGTGTACTGTTCAGTGGTTAGGGTTTAGGGTTTAGGGTTTAGGGTTTAGGGTTTACAAACAGCAGCGGAGGGTTTGCGGGGTCCAGCACGTGAAACAGAAGAGTCCCTTCGTTCAAGTTCTCCAGACTGCCAAAGACCTTAGGCTTGTGGAGTGGGTGGGTTGGGTTGGGGGCGCGGGTTAGGGTTTAGGGTTTAGGGTTTAGGGTTTAGGGTTTAGGGTTTACAAACAGCAGCGG